CGTTAAAAAAAACGGTCACCCGAAGGATCTCGGCAAAAACAGCCATCAGTGCGTTAGGAGTGATACAATAAGTTGCACCTGAAGGCACACAGCTCCGGAATATCTTGCGAGTATAAACAGTGAATAGGCAGGTAGCCTAGGAGAGGAACACCCAGCATGGCTGCGATCAACATTTGGCCGTGTGTCAGCAACATCAAGGAGACAACATTGTTGCTAGGACTTTTGCGGTGACTTGAAAGTAGTACTTGTTTAATTATTATTAAATATTGCATTTTACTAACTTTATTGGTTGCTGTTGTTAACAGTCCTGGTGACAGAAATGATACCGGTGTCATTGCTGTTGCGGCTCCTTGCTCAGCCAGCCTTCTAATCGGCGAAACGACGGTTTTCTTTGACGAAGAATTTGGGCTGAACAGGATCTACGTTAGTTCTTAAATAAAACTTTTGTGGACGGAGTGAAAGGAAGAACGAAAAGCATTTCCGGAAGATTCCTAGGGCTTGGCACTTTTTGAAGCACATCTTTTTCTACGGTGATTAGAATTTTTTTTTATAATTTTGAAGCTTGATAAAATAATTTATTTTTCGATCAACATTTCAATAAAATGAACAATAAACGAGGGATGTAAGGAGGATTGGACAAGTAAGACAGGTTTGACTGCCCTTCCTTGCTATGCTGAAGAAACACCAAAATTACGCCTGCTGGAAAGAACAGCGCAAAACAATTAAATATGGGGATACAAAATTCAATCAGAAAGTCTCAAACAGAATACAGATTTGGCTAAACGAGCACAAAATTTAATTAAAAGACGTCAAAATCAAAGGGGGGCGTTAGAAAGCAAATGTTTTAATTTTGTTGGTAAAACAGTGAAATACTACATTTGGCAGAGGGGCGAAAGTGAGAAACGGGATCCGTTTGGTCTGTCAGTGAAATCCATTTTCGTTTTTGGGAGACTGTACATGTGGCTGACAATAATAGAATTGACAGTAATAATAATAATTAATAGCGATAATTAATAATAATAACTATTTTTAGTAACAAAAATCTGAAAAATATCACATTCTGGGATGTGTACACTGTGATTCCAAGAAAAACTCGCACTTACTCCAATCTCTTTCGATTTACGACCAGAGGCTGGCTAAACTGACCAGAAAATCTCTCTGTCATCTAGTTTTTTTTTAATGTTAAGTAGAATGAGAAATAAGGCTGGCATGAAACAAGAGTGATCATTTCTAGACCACCCAAACA